TCTCTCTACAGTCCAATGGGCTTGGGGGCAGTTCAAGCAGTCAGAGAGGCTGGGTAGATGCAGAAAGAGACACTGCGGACAGTAAGAGATAGGATAATTCTAGAGAGGGATGAGAAATAGAGAAAGCAAAGGCAGGCGCCATGACAGAAGCCTGCCTTTCTTCTCACAAAGAAGCCAGAAGAATCTAGGCCTAGGTTTCAGTTCCAGAATTTCTGGAATTGACTACAGATTCCTGGAATCGAGTCATGACTTCCCCAAAGTGAGATAGCCATAGTGAGGTCAACTAAAGTTACCAATCAGATGCAGGTAGGAAAGCGCACCTATGTAACACTTATGTAACTCTTATGCAACTCCAAGTTATAAACCAATCAGCTAAGTACAAGTAGTGAAAAGGCCCTCAGACTGCAGCCAAAAAGGGTGGTCCGCAGAAAGTCCCTGTTATATAATGCGAGGTATAAAAGCCCTTCATTTTTGAGACTTGGGGCCTCTCGTTCCAAGAAGGGTACCACTGTGTCAGTGAGCTGGATGGAGGCCCCTAGCTCGACCTATCCAATAAAGACCTTTTGCTCACTGCATCACCACCTGTCTGTGTGACTCCTTGGTGCATCAGTGGTATCTTGGCCTGGTTTAACAGGGACACAGACTCATTCGCAGCACTCTCTTCATTGCTGCAAAAAGAAGTCCCACAGACTAGACGGCTTAGAACAAACAAATTGCTTCCCTACCATCTAGCTGGGGGCTAGATGTTAAGATGGCATGTACTGTGCTTTCTCCCTGTGTTTAGATCTCTCTCCCAGTGCCCACACACTCAGTGGCCTGCTTGCAATGTCCCTCCCGCCTTCATACAGCTGCTCCCAGGCTGCCTGTATGGCCCACTTTATCTTTTTAGATGGATTCCAGCGACATCAGATTAGAGCCCCATTCTGAGTACTCCCACTTAAACAAAAGCATTTGGCCACAACCCTGGTTCCAAGTAAAGGTGTTTCTTGGATATTGGAGGTTAGAACTAAAACATGATTTGGGAGATATTCAGCACCTATCAAAGGGCCAGAGTAAAAAAGTGCAATATGTCCCCATTGAAAACATCAGCAGCTGTTTCCTATTTATGCAGGAGAGAGCTGGCAACCCCGAGGAATGTGCTCCTGACCATTAGGCATGGAGCTAGGTAGCCATAGACAGCTTTGCCGGCCATAGGACCTGCACTGCCATGATTTACCAAATGCTCTGAGCACCACGCAGATGCACTGCCATGATTTCCCAAATGCTCTAAGCACCGAGATCCTCACCAGAAATAATGGAGAAAGAGAACAGACTGTCTCAAAGCAACCCTAGCTGCCTATAGACAGTCAACACCAGCACCTCTGGGTGCTCTCAGAGCCAGACCTGGCTTCTTCCTCACCAGATCTATCCTTATATGCTTGTTCATGCACAAGTAATTGCCAGAGAGGCAAGCTGCTCCACTAAAATGCACAACTTCCAATAGTGAGTTGATGCTGGCACTTTAGCACAGGGGGTAGGGCGTCTGCCTTGCACGCAGCCAACATGGCCGACCCGAGTTCGATTCCTCCACCCCTCTCGGAGAGCCCGGTAAGCTACTGAGAGTATTCGATATGCCAGACACAGTAACAACAAAGTCTCCAATGGAGACGTTACTGGGCCCGCTCCAGCAAATCGATGATCAAGGGGAGGGCCTTTACTTTAGTCACAACTTAAAGCCCTTTAAAATCTCCCTCTATTGAGTTGGAGGGTTGTAGGGCACTTGCCTTGCACATGGTTGATCCATGTTTGACCCCCAGCATCACATATGGTCTCCCAAGTCCTTCCAGGAGCAGCCCCTGAGAATGAGTCAGAAGTAAGGTCCAAGCACTGCTGCATGTGGCCCCAAATCTCCCCCAAAAAGAAATGAAAAAATAAAACAAATTAAAGCTCTATCCTGGTTCTGCATGGTTGGAGGCATCCTCCAAGGACATCTAGGCCTTGTACCATGTTCTTCCTCCAAGCTGTCCTACAGGGCCAGCGCTGGTAGCTCTGCTCTCACATACTTCTGACTCTTGATTAGACAGCTGAACAAGGAGGAAGAGACGTAGGTTCTCCCATGGGAGGACTCACTTTACAGAAAAGTATAACACCTTGGAGAAATCTAACCAAAGCTTAACACCCCACCATGTCAAGCTGAAAGAAAGGGCAGGAGAGATCACTCGTGGGCCTTTGCATGCTTTGCATGTGGCAGCCTCAGTTCAATCCCCAGAGATGCCTGGCTCCGAGTGCACAGAAACTGGGGTAGCCTCCCAGAACTGATGAGTATGACTCCCTGATCCAATACCAAAAAATAAACTTTTAAAGATCCCTGGATGGGAATACAAAGCTGTCCTTGGTAGGGCTTGGAGGATAATCGGCCCATACAGCTGGATGGTCACAGGGTTAGTGCTGGGAACCAGAATGGTTGTACCCCAACCCATTAGAGGTGAAATGATTCTTCAAATCATTCCCATCTGGGATAAAGCAACAAGCTTTGTCTCTAATTGGGGGAAGTCTCAAACCCTAGAGATTATACAGGAATTCTAATGGTGCCAAGGGGAGCTGCAGGTCTGGGCTGTCCCCAGGGAGACAGCCACAAGAGATGGTCCTGCTGTGAACAACTTTGGGTCCAGTCTCAAAACTTACATATTCATTTTGGAAATGAGGGGAAGAATTTAGGAAAAAACAACAGTGAGAATGACGCATGTCAAAAATTCTGAAAATAACCAGTCCTGGCAGGGATGCGGTTGAGAAAGGACCCCTCATTCACTGATTTACTCTTGGTGGAAATGTTGGCAACAGGTTCAACCTCTATGGAAAGCAATGTGGAGATTTCTCTGACAAGTGAGAATAGAACTCCCATACAACCCAGTGATGTTCCACTTCTGGTGCATCATCCCCAAAGCTCAAAAGCATTTATTTGAAAGGATGCATGTTCACTAATGCTCATTGAAACTTTTAAAACAATCCCTAGATTATGGAAACAACCCAAATGTCTACTATAGATGAGTGGATCAAAAAAGTTGTGATACAGATACATGGTGAAATACCATAAAGCCCTAAGAAAGGACAAGATCATGCAACTTGTAACATGGAAGGAATTGGAGGATACCATGCTGAGTGAAGTCAGTCAGAAGAAAAGGGAAGGGGCTGGAGTGATAGCACAGCGGGTAGGGCATTTGCCTTGCACGCGGCCGACCCGGGTTTGATTTCCAGCATTCCATATGATCCCCCGAGCACCACCAGAGTAATTCCTGACAGCATGAGCCAGGAGTAACCCCTGTACATCTCTGGATGTGACGCAAAAAGTGAAGAAGAAGAAGAAGAAGAAGAAGAAGAAGAAGAAGAAGAAGAAGAAGAAGAAGAGGAAGAGGAAGAGGAAGAGGAAGAGGAAGAGGAGGAAGAGGAAGAAGAGGAAGAAGAGGAAGAAGAGAAAGAAGAAGAGGAAGAAGAAGAGGAAGAAGAAGAAGAAGAAGAAGAAGAAGAAGAAGAAGAAGAAGAAGAAGAAGAGGAGGAGGAGGAGGAGGAGGAGGGAAGATGCTGAATAATCTCTCTCATTTATAAGACATAAAGATATGCATCAAGGGAGAAATAAATGGCCAACAGAACTGGAGATTTGCCCACAAACAGAGTTGGCTTTGGGGAGGAGAGAAAGGGAAGGACCACTGGGCCATGAGTGGAGGGAAGGGGGCGTTCCGTTCTAATGGTGGCTTTGGTGTTGGAATAACGTGTGCACAAAACTACAATTAACAGTATTATAAACCACAGTACTTCAATAAAAATGTTTTAAAAATGAATTAAAAATAGGAGGGACTGGTGAGATAGCTCAGAGGACAGGAGCATATGTCTACCATTCGCCAGGCCCAGATCTGATGCCTCCTGTAACACCCATCCCTAGCACCCCTGGGTGTAGCCCCAAGGAGCTGAGTACAGCTGCATCCAAAGGGTACCAACCATGGCAAACCTAACAATTGAATCACCCCGCCCATAATACGGGGCTGAAGATTGCTGAGAGTCGTTGCCATCCCCTCTGAGCACTGCTGAGGAGTAGCTCCAAGCCCCACGCCCACCCCTGAAATACTGAGGTCCCAAAGGAACGTGTTAACAAATGTATCAGGGTCTTTGGGAATTAGGTCACAGAGCCCTGGCAGGAAGTGTCTCCCACCTGCTCTTTGGGGGTTGTCAGATGTTTGGCTCCAGGAATCCTAGCAACCTAAATGTGGTCAGCTCACTTTCTTCCTGTTTAGTCTGAAGAACAGTGGCCATGCCTCTGCTTTGGGGACATGCACTCTGGGGCTGTGCCGAGCCTCCCTGATTCCTCCAAGTATAGCCCAGTTCCTCCAGATGTTTGGCTCAGGTGGGCCAAGTCCTAGAGAATGGAAAACATCCTGTTCCTGTGAACATCTCACTCTTCCCATGAAGACTTTCAATGATGGTTAGAGAAAAGCAGTGAGCATGTTTGCAGAGAGGTTATTAGCTGTCCCTAGACACAGCCTTACCTGTGATACAAGCAGGAGATGACAGGCACATGGCACACCCAACATGGCCCAAAACCTGAGCTTCCTAAGGCCTCCACAGATGCTCTACAGAAACCATTCCCAGGGTCAATGAAGGGAATGAGAATGGAATTGACCATCACTCCTGGGACAGGCAATGGAGCGATGACATGGCCAGTCACTCGGAAGAGCAGATGGATGAAGCCTGCATGGGAGTCCTTGGGGATGGGGGTGGGGTGGGGAGAGAAGGTGCTGACTCACACAGACACTAAGACTTGGCAGAAACTCATCCAAACCTTACATAGCCCCTTCTGAACTTGGTCCTTCTTGCGCCCAGTTCCCCCCCACCCCCAAACGCCATGCCATGGATGGACCCCAGTCTCATGCCTGTCCCCCATGAAACGATTTTGCCTGTGGCCCCCTTGTGATATCCTAGGGCTCCCCAGCTATGGAAAGCAATCTAGGCATCTTCTGAGCAGCACTCACCTTCATTTCTTTGGAGGTGGACTGGGCCAGGGCCTTTTTGCCTGCCTTGGAGGACTTGGAGGATTTGGAGGAGGTGGAGGAAGGACCCCTGACATGGTGGGGCTTCAGCTCGCTGAGGCTGCTGAGGTACTTCCTGCGCAGGGCCAGTAGCTCCTGTAAGTACTGCAGGCAGTCCTGGGTGCGGGAGTACATCCAGGCGCGGTCACCCTCCTGCTGCAGGTAGTACAGGCCGCCGTCCATGCTGCCTGTGCTCTTGCACTTCTTCAAGGACTCGCTTAACTTCTCTCCGTGGTCGCCGACCACGTACATGGAGCTGCTGCGGATCAGCCGCACGCCGGAGCCAGCTCGGTCGTAGTAGGGGCTCTGGGCCACCTCCGCTCTCCGCTGTGCGCTGGGGTGAAAGACAGAGTGGATCTTTCGGAACATGGTGCCTGGTTTCTCTCTGTGGGTCCCTTCCAGCTGCCGGCGCTGCGCCACTTGATCTAGCCTGGGGCAAATGAGCCAACATCCAGGCCTCCTGCCACCTGCCTCCAGGAGGCCTCTGATCTCTGGAACCCCAGCAACAGACTTGATCAGGCCCCTTGCATCTTGCATGGGGAACGGGGGTAGGGGGTATTTACACAGAGCTCCTGCAGAGAGAAGGTGCCGTCAGCTTCAAAGCAGGTGTTCAGGCTTCCTCTGAGCACTGTTCCCGTGCAAATATCTCCCAGGAGCTAAGCAGGAAGAACTCAACCGGCTGGGGAAAACACAACCCTGCTTTATCTGTTCTGTTATTTTCTGTCCTTTTTATTTCCCATTTCTGGATGTTTGTCAGACTGACCCAGAGGGTCGAATTTTACATTTCCAACTGCCAAACTGACCTTGGCCCTGAACTCCTGGGAATCACAATGGAAATCCTCCTCTGCACAGGGCTCCCTCTCAAAAGAAGTGAGTTTCCCAGGGTAAAATCCAGCCACCTGCCAAGGGCCAATGCCGCTGGCAGGAGGCTCTCAGATCCCTGATAAGCTGGGCTCTGAGTAGGCATTCGAGTGCCTGGGAAATGCCTCCCCACTGTAACAAGACCTCAGGCTGATACCGGATAGCTCCATTGTAGAAACCAGGACTCAGATATCCGGACTGTAACTCCCTACACAAAAGCTTCCATGAGCAGAAAGCTGGGCCACATGCGGAATGATACAGCTTAAGCAACTCATCCGCCCATCACACTAGTTATAATCAGGTCCCAAGGTCTACTTTTTTTTAAATAGCACCATTTGAGGACCTTGAAAACTCAGGAATTCCCTAGCCCCTGAGATTTTTCTCATTAGGAAATGATACAAGTGATCACTGTTATTGCATCCATTTTTCTAGGTCCCTCTATGTCTCTCTGAAATGTCAGTCCTGGAACTGATGTCTGGTCTACAGCTGTACTACCCTGAGTGCGCCCCATCTCGTCAAATCTCGGAAAATAAGCAGGGTTGGGCCTTAGATGGGAGAACTGAGGTCTGTAAGTCTCTAGAATGAATTTTTCTATTCTAGTCTCACAGTGGAGACATCACTGGGCCAGCTCAAGCAAATCGATGACCAACGGGAGAACAGTGAACAGTGGACAGAAGTTCATTGATGTTTTAAATAGAAATGGGTGTTAGAGGAGATGTATATAAAATGTTCTTGGATGTCTACCAAATTGGTATATTTTTGCCTCTTCATTTGTGTGTGTGTGTGTGTGTGTGTGTATGTGTATGTGTGTGTGACCCAGTATATGGGTTGAAACAGTGATTTTATGTTTTTAATTGTTTAAAAAAATTTTTATTAGTGAAACACCATGAGGTACAATTGTAGACTTACAAATTTTTGTGGTTTTAGTAATCCAATGATCGAGTACCCATCCCTCCACCAGTGCCCATTCTCCACCACCACTGATCCCAGTATCCCTCCCACCCCCCATCCCCCCACCCCACCCTTCCTCTGTGGAGAGAGAAAGAATTCATGGTTCTGTTAGATATTCAAAGAAGTTCAGTATTCAATTTTTTTTGTTTTTTTTTTACTGGAGTTTGCTAAATTACTGCTTTTGAATATGGAGTTATTAAAAGACATTACGGGGAGAGAGATATAGTCTTGTGCCAGAGAGGGGCTAGAGTACATCCTTTGCATATGGGAGGCCCAGGTTTGAGCTCTGGCACTGCATGGTCCCATGAGTACCCACTAACACAGAACAAGGACTATCCCCAGAGCACAGTCAGGTGTAGCCCCAAACAAATAGAAAAGGCATTACAACTGCCCCCACACGGAGCCCTCTGCCTCCATTTCCCTGAGAACAATGGCGAGCTGACGCTGAATGTTGAGAGCCCCCGTCACTTTGCATTTGTAATGTTTCAGGCTGATGCAGCATATCCACATACATGAACTAATTTGTATATTTCTGGATCCTTTTTAATGTAATACAAAGCAACAATTGTTGGAACAATTCTAGGCTTAAAATCAATTAGACAACAAAGTTGCAATATTAAAATCAGATCTTTAAAATACATGTATGGGAACATTGTCATATCGGATGGCAGGATTTCTTGATTTTTCAGGAGAGACCTGTTATCATCACGATCACTACAGGCTTTCAGTTCTGTAGAGAGCCTGGAGTAGTAAGGAAGGAAGTGTCAAGGCTAATTCAGCTGAGCAATAAGCAAAACATCAAGAAAGCTGTAGCAATACCACAGTGGGGAGGGCATTTGCCTTCCACACATGGCCAACCTGGGTTTGATCCCTGACATTGTGGGTTCCCCCAAAGTCTGCCAGAAGTGATTCCTGAGTTCAGAGCCCAGAGATAATTTCTAAGCACTCTTGGGCTGGAGTGACAGCACAGCAGGTAGGGAGTTTGCTTTGCAAGCAGCCAATATAGCTGACGCAAGTTCGATTCCTCTGCCACTCTCAGAGAGCCCAGCAAGCTACTGAGAGTATCTCGCCCGCACAGCAAAGCCTGGCAAGCTTCCCATGATGTATTCGATATGCCAAACACAGTAATAACAAAGTCTCACACTGAATACGTTACTGGGCCCACTCGAGAAAATCGATGAACAATGGGAGGACAGTGACAGTGATTCTTGGACATATCCCTAAAACAAAAACAAAAGAAGGAAACAAGTCCTCAGACCCTGAGCTCCACTGTCCCTAATGCACCTTTGTCCTCAGCGCAACCCTCCCTGCCAGCCTCACATAGACTGGAAGGAGTCACTGTTACCATGAGTGAGACCATACTTTTGCATGGCTGACAGAACCCTGAGCTTGGACCCAGCCTCCAAGGATGCTGTAAGGTGATTTGAGATAACAAACCTACTTTGCCTCTGGAACTCTCACACCTGTGGGCTGAGGGAGAGCATGCTCTGTGGTGAGGAGGGCAATGGTCAGAGAGCTTCTCTCTGCTCAAAGTGCTGCTGAATAGAGCCAGAATTGGGCCAAGGCTCAGGGCTCATGCTCAGGTAGGAAGTTTGCAAGCACATGAGTGTGGGCTCCACTCTAGGGGACTGATGTACTGCTGATGTGCTGCTGATCCACTCAGAAAGGTTTGTGAAGCGCTGCTTTTCAATTCCTTTAGGTTCAAAAGATGTCACTAATTCACTGGGTTCTTGTAGTGAATGAGGTGATGGGAGGGACTGAACCTGTTATATTTACTTCCTCAAAAGCAGGAATGATGGCTAGAGGGTTCATGTTTGTATGCCATCTCTGGCACCACATGGTCCCCAAGCACTGACAGCTGTAACCCACCCTAAACGCTCCGAGCACTTCTGGGTGACTCTGGTGGTACTTGACACCGCAGGACCTGAGCAAAGCCTCATTCTCAGCCCGGTTAACCAACCAGCTCAACTATCTTGCCAAGAATCACTGGGAGTTGTCACTGAGAACCACTTGGGAGCAATTCCTCAAGGAAAGTAAAAAGTTACCATGCTTGCTTTCCTAATAATATTCTGAAAAAACTACTACTACTACACTTACTTCTATTTTGTACCCGCAGACAGTTACCAAGATACAGCCCCAGATGAAACCTTTGCATTCATGGGGCCAGAGAGAGAGAATAGCAATTAAGTCACTTGCCTTGCACATGGCCGACCCAGGGTTGACCTCTAGTACCCTGTACAGTCCCCTGAGCAAAGCCAGGAGTGATCTCTGAGCACAGAGGCAGAAATAAGCCTTGAGCACTTCTGGTTTAGTCCCTAAAGCAAAACAAAACAACAAAAGAACACTCCCCCAAATAGGCACACCCATGTCAATGCAGCTGACTCTTGGGTCCTGCTGGCCCTCAGATGCCCTTCCTTTAAGGAACCCTTAGTGGGGACAAACTCCCTCCCCATCCCACTCCCACCCACCCCCACCACTGTGTCCCTGATTGGCACCTAGCTCTGAGTGGGCACTTCTCAGTGGATGGCAGGCAGGTGAAGCAGAGGAGAAGGCATGCGGATGCAGGGGGAGCTGAGAAAAGGAAGCAATCTGATCCACTGCATTAAATATTTGATAGTGGCTAAGATTACCCAGGGCGACACCATGTATCTTGTGTCCTGCTGGTCCATTTGCCCGGTGTCCTGAGCATTTCCCTTTAAGGCCTCCCTGGGGCAGAGGCTGTCCCCTGTGCCTTTAAAGCATTGTCCTGTGAAGCACTGCCATCCAGAACCAGCATTGTTCATGGGAAGGTGTCACTGTCCCCAGCTTGAACATGCTTGGAAAGAGAAAACCAAAGCATATTTGTAAGTAAAATGTCTGTGCTTAATAGGCACACGTATAGAAAGCCCGGCAGCCAGTCAATAGAGGGAAGGTGACTGAGTTTGATCACCCCAGAAAGCAGGGACCCCATTCATGATTGATGCTAACTGGAGAAGGGTGAGTCTAGGGTGGAGGGGAGAGTGACTTGGCTGCACCAAGACTACCAGAGAATAGCGAGAGACCAAGCTGGAGAATCGTGGGGCATCCTTCAGCCAGTTAAATGAGCGACTTGGAGCTGGTCCAACTTGCTCTTTGACTCCACTGGGGAGATATGGAAGGAAAGAAAGCATTTGTTCATGCGATTCCCCAAAGTGGCAAAAGCAAGGCAGGCAGTCCCCACCAACCACTTGGCAAGGCACCTGGCGCAGTGAACAATGACTGTACGTGAGAACCCTTAGTGTGTAGGCGCTCAGAGCAGTAGATGGCCTTGCAAATGGGAGAGTGGGAGAAATCATTCTGAAATCTCAAAGAGATTTCCATGAGTTCCAGGAAAAGTTAGCGCTTCATGTAGCTAATCCTGTACTCACCACCCCAAGACTTAGTGGTTTGAAACAACAGTCATTGTATTTGCTGTCAATTCTAGAGTCTAGCTTGTATGTGGTCTGGAGCGATAGCACAGCGGTAGGGCGTTTGCCTTGCGTGCAGCCAGCCCTGCCAAGATTGGTTCGATTCCTTCACCCCCCTCAGCAAGCTACTGA